AAAAAATGTGATGAACACACACCACTTAATCCAAGTTCCCCCAACACTGAACTCACCTCGTGAATGAGCCGCAGTTGCGTAACATGTCCACGAAACTCGTAGCAATTACACCATCTACATTCAGGATCAGGTTCGGCTTTTTGCTTGTCGTGATCTTCTCCACTTCCAGCGCATATCTGAGCAATGGGCAAGCTGGGAAATTTTCCAATACAAATTCCTTGATAATTTTCACGCGCACATCTGGGTTATTAATCGATTTGACACGATGTCCAATACCCATAATGAGTCTACCTTCCTTGCGCATTTGATTGACAAACTCCATTGGATGCAAATTAGAGTCATAGGCCTCGGAGAATTGCCGGGCTGAACCATCCAAAGCGCCACCAAAGCGATCACCCTATAAAATGTGTTAACAATTTTATTAAATGTAACAAATTTCCGTTTGCCCTCCAACTCACAATTGTCAGCAAGCCACTGACGACGGACGAAACCAAGTCTTTGCCGGCACGTGCACACACAATTGTGTTATGCGCACCCGAAACAGCCGGTCCATGATCAGCCGTCACCATTAGGCACATTTCGAAGAACTTACAAACGTATGGAGGCAGACAGCGCTGGAACCACAAGAGTGACACCACACCACCAATACCCACGTCCTTGTTGAGCACCTCGCTGATGGGCATGCCAGCATACAGCAACTCTTGGCCACGCTCATCGCAAATAGACGTCATGAAGGAAGCGGGTTTGCGGATTAAACCTAATTCACGCGCCCAAGAGTAATCCATTGGCACAGTGGGTGGTGGTACTTCTTCTTTGGGCACAATGCGTCCCGATTTTACTAGTTCGGCATATACTTGTTGAATGAGGTCACCCAACGAATCGAAAGATTCGGGTACGTATGCGCCTGCCTCACGCAATGCCTTGTTCTTTGCAGAAGCCGTCTCCCGATCTGAGTTGGCGCATGAACCTGCATGGCCAAATTGCACCTCAGAGGTGAACATGCTGGCACATGTACCAATACACCACGCCACTAAAGGTTTTGTTATGCGTCCATCCTTGAGAGCTGCGCACACCTCGTATTCCTCCGTGCCGCCTACCTCACCGAGCAGCACAATCAACTTGGCCTCAGGATCGGCCTGGTAGCGTAAAATGTGATCCATAAATGTTGAACCCGGATAGCGATCACCGCCAATAGCAATACCCTCCTGCACACCATCCGTAGCTTTTGAGACAATGTTGTTCAATTCGTTGGACATACCGCCGGAACGCGATACATAGGCCACACTTCCGGGACGATAGAGTTTTGAATGCAATATATTATCCAACATGCCGCCGGTGTTGCCGATTTTGAAGCAACCAGGCTTGACACCACCAACAGTGGCGGGCCCAATGATAGATACGCCTTTCTTGTCGGCGGAAACAATCAGTTTGCGGGTCAAATTCTCGGGGATGCCTTCAGCAATAATAGCCACTGTGCGTATTTGTGGGAACTCCAATACCTCTAAAGTTGAATCATAAGCCGAACGTAATGAGGCAAAGTTAACCATCACATCGACATCTTTATGATTCTTAACAGCGTCAGACATTTTCTTATAAACTGGAATAAGAATCTCTTTGTGACCCCAGTAATACTTTTGCTTATGATCGCCGGTGAAGGGGTATACCATAGCGACAACGGATGGTTCATCACGTCTATAAGGGAAAGAGGGGGGGGAATTCATATAATACTGTTCACATACTAATGTTATTACGTTTAAAATACACTACAATTCTCCACTTCGCTCACCTGCAAATGAAATCGAAATCCAGCATTGATTGTACAGCCCGTTGTTGCATGCCCCAGACGATGGCTTTCGTTTTGTTGCTGAAAAATTTACGCGTATGCGCATTTGCGACATTGTTGTGCACAGAGTCATTTGTAACAGAGTCATCTGCCGAAATAGGTGGTAGTTTAATCGAGTGTGGTGATGAACCTATACCTTAAATGTGTTCCCAAATGATTTACGATTTTGGTTTTGATTTCGATAACGTTTTGAATGTTCATTGCAGTTGATTGAGAGCATGGGTAGGTATCGTGCCAAGACGTTGTTGTTTTTTGTTTTTTTATTTTTTATGGTTGGTTTTGGTTTTTGACATATGAACGTGAGGCGAAAGAGATAGATGCACAAAAACAGGCAAAACACANTGATTTCGATAACGTTTTGAATGTTCATTGCAGTTGATTGAGAGCATGGGTAGGTATCGTGCCAAGACGTTGTTGTTTTTTTGTTTTTTTTTTTATGGTTGGTTTTGGTTTTTGAGATATGAACGTGAGGCGAAAGAGATAGATGCACAAAAACAGGCAAAACACACGAGCACAAACACATAGCAAACAATACGTTAAAGAGTATCATAGTGAGGATAGACGACAACAAATGTTTTTTTATGTTTCCAAAAAACAATTTAACGCTTTGTCAAAGTAGTAGTAATGGTGGTAGTGGTATTGGAAATTGAGGTGGTGGTGATGATGTTGAGCAGGATAACCGATTACATACAAACATGAGGACGGACGAAGAGGATACATACAAAAATACAAGAAATATATTTGAATATAAGTTATTAGTTGATAGCTTGTACAGGATATGGTTAGATAAAGAAAATTTTGAATATCAAAAGTTTTCAAATTTGTACTACAGTTAAATTTATGCATTTGAAACTTGGTGCTAAAAATTTCTATTTTGAACAAGTGACAAATTGGCACTTTAAGGCCATTCAAAGCACGATAATCCAGCTCACTTCACACAAACGATAAAAGGTATACAAACTTACGGTTTTTATTAAGCAACAATTTAAAAATTTTGAAATAAACAAATATTTCAGTATGTAGATTAAACCCGGGAATGCTTATAAAATGTGCTT